TGCGTCCCAAAGCTGTATTATGATGTCACTTATTGAACTATGACGTCAATTTTGCTATGTTTATAGTTATTGTGACGTCATATTTTCTCATTTTTTATTTATTACCACTTGTCTAATTGAAATCCCACTTATACCTAACCCATTATGTTATTCTGAAACGCGTAGACTTATATAACGATCCAAGTTACTGCACAGATTGATTTTAGAGATTTCTCGTACTTTTAACCTTAATAGTCCACGATTTCTAGCGCAGATTCTTCAATCGTGCGTTTTCGAATTGCTGGACAAGTTAGGACATCAAAAGAATTCAACGTATTTAGCATCGATTCGTAGTGGACAACTTGTCAAGCTATCATGCATACCATATATCGACATAGGCTGCTAATCTGTTGTATATATTAAGGTTACCGTATCTGAAAATACAAAATGCCTCACAAAATTTTAAAGAGACCGGTTGACCAATTTTACAATCAAAACACTTATATGAAAAACCTGACGTATGGCAACCCAATAAGCCGCTGCGGAGGAGGCCATTGAAATGGCGTTTAGTGCCACTGGTATGTATCCCCATTCTTAACCCGTTGTCTGTATAGCAACACCCTAACCCTCCACGAAGGAAGCCATTTAAATTACAATTACGAAACTTAATTATTTCGTTTCCCAAACAACTTCGCTTCTTGACTGATCAAACCAGGTAGTTACGTATCAGGTATAATAGAATTAAGTGCGCTAGTAATTTAACGAATAGTGCGTTTGATTGGCAGTACATATGTAATATATTTGCTTGACAAGGTAGAAATGGACTTTGAAGTAATTAGAATCGACCAGCAGTGGACATCTCGAGAAGCTGACATGTATAGCATACTGTATATCGATTCCGATCGCTAACATGTCTATATGGCAGCCCTTTCACGAAGGTGGCCATTCATATAGCGATTGGGACCTTTTATCCACACATATACCCAACCTACTGTGTATAGGGCAGCTCAATAGCCTTCTACGGAAACGACCATTCAAATGGTAAATTCACTCAATATCAGACGCGATCGACTGCTCGAGACGTGGCGACCGACCAGTCGATCGCGATCGACGTATTATTAATAAGGGGTGACCGTACATTTGAACCCATTTGTATATCATCGGGTTCAATCTATATGCGGGTGCTAAAACCCATGGGTTCAAATATCCGTAAAACAAATTTTTTTATAGGTGTCATAGTATGCAGGTGCAATTGTCGTGGGTTCGAATGTACATGGGTTCAAATGTACGTGGGTTCAAATGTAATGGAACCTCAATAAGGCAGCGCAGTAGCCGTTCGCGGAGGTGACTATTCAAATAACAATTGGGGACATATACCCATCCTTATTGCATACCCGATGTCTCCATAGCAGCCCAATAACAAAAGGATACCATTCAAATTACAATAACGAAACTTAACTATTATGTCGTCTTCACAAACAACTTTGCTTTCCCACTTATTATCAAAGTTAGTCAAACATCAGGCATAAACGAATTTATTGTGATAATAATTTAACGAACAATGAGCTTTTTGACAGCACACATGTCTTATATTTGCTGGACGAGAAATGGGTGCCGCTGCTCTACAACTAAATTTGGTTTCTAGCGGCTCCCTCGCCCTGAAATTCTTTTTAATAGTTTATTGCAATTTGATATCAAGTGTGCTTTCAGTATGCTGAAAAAATAAATTACTGATTACTGGACTTTAAAGTAATTAGAATCGGCCAGCTGTGGACATCGCGCGAAGCTGACATGCATAGCATAAATCGTTCACTACCGCTAATCTTCGTTTTCCCAGCCGATTAGCTCAGCTGAATTATATATAATGTATAAATGGAAATAATAAGATTTTAATTTAAAAACAACTCATTTTCTATTTTCTCATAAATCGTGTATTTCATATGCCAGCTCAATAGCCTGATCTCCGGAAATATAATTAAAATAGCGACACCTCTATTAATTTCGGTGACCGTACATTTGAACCCACGTGCATTTGAACCCATGTGTATATCCACGGGTTCAATCTATATGCGGGTGCTAAAACCCATGGGTTAGGGTTAGTATGGGTTCAAATATCCGTAAAACAAAAAAAAATCTCCATAGGTGCAATAGTATGCAGGTGCAATTGTCGTGGGTTCAAATGTAATGGAACCATTAATTCCAATTGGCTATTGATGATGTTGAAACTCGTTACTCTCAAATCGAACGTGAAGCACTGAACACCTTCACTTGTACCTATTTGGAGTAAAAATCAATGTTATTACTGACCACAGACCGTTGGTTAGTATATTTACAGTATTTGGATGTCTATCCAATTAAAGAGTCCAGCTGCATATCAACACATATATATTTCTGTGACGTTTCGTCTGACCAGAGTCAGACTTCCTCAGACAAGCAACAATTGTTTCAACAATAGTCAGACGAAACTTTACAGAAATACATTTGTGTTAGTGTGCAGCTGGATTCTTCAATTGGATGAATAGTCATGTTTATTCCAGCTACAGCATCCTTGTAGTATGCACATACGGATGCGGATTCACTGGCATAAAGACATAGAGCAGGGGTGGGAAAATTGTTTAGTATAAAAGCCGCATGTAGCATGTTAGAAATATGCGAGAGCCTCATAATTTTTGAAATTAATAATATTAGATTACCGTGAACTGATAACAACTTTGCACAAACGTATAATAACAATATTTCAAAGTATATAATATTACTTATCGATTTTAATCGGTAAGTATGTTGATAGGTATTTGTCTGTCTGTCTGTATGTATGTCTATTTGTCTGTTAGATGCACGCGATATCTCACGAAAGCGAGATTGAATCTGCTCCAGATTTTGCATGTGGAATCATCTTATCTCGGACCAGGAGCCTATTGATTTTGGGCGAATTATGTCATATAATTAGCGAGTTATTAATTAATTAGTGATAGGACACAAGGTGTCACTATGTAGCAATCGCCTAATTAAAAGAAAACTGTTACGCTATAGTTTCTCTTAGTTAAATTTGGATAATATATAATTATTGCCAGCGAGAAGAGCCGCATAAAAAACTCGAGCCGAGCGAGCGAGCCGCGGTTTGCCCACCGTTGACATAGAGGAAAGGTAGGGAGTTACTAACGCGCAACCCAATTCAAGGCTTCTTAGTGTCGGCAACCTTTTTCAAATGACGGACCGGTAGAACCTGATCGAAAGTTTAGCGGACCATCTTTATACAAACGAACAAGACTTATTACTTATCGATCTCGATCGGTAAGTATGTTGATAGGTATTTGTTGGTTTGTTCACTTTCGTATGTTACGCGATATCTCACGAAAGCAAGGTTCAATCTGCTTCAAATTTTTCATGTGCATTTATCATATCTCGGACCAGAAGCAATTGATTTTGGATAAATTATGTCGTATAATTAGCGAGTTATTGTTTAATTATGCGGTGTCGCTATTGAGTCAGAGCGAAGGAATCGAAACCGCAGATTGATAAGTCGGTGGTCTCCGATGGCTATCTAGTGTAATAACTCATATCATCAATAAATCATTGACATCTTATGTTCATCCTAATTATTAACCTAATGCTTATACGGCGACCTAATATCCTCTTCGGGGAGGCCAATCAAATAGTCCTAATTGCAATTAGCTCAGCTGGTTACAGCGTTTTACTAATTACAACACTATCGCTAATCTGGGTTCTGTACTAATCCCTCATATTGGTAAATATCTATTTTCGTTAATTAAAATTGACAGAATTATTTATGTTGTGCCTAAACATCCTTATTCTGTCATAAAACTGCCTCGTGAGATTGATTTAAATCGACGGAGTAATTTAACTTGCATCTAAATATCCTTATTCTGCTAAAAAGATGCCGAGTGGGATTGATTTGAATTGACAGAATAATTCACCTTGCATCTAAATATCCCTATTCTGCCGAAAACTGCCTCGTGGGATTAGTTTTCGTGTCATGATTTTAATTGTATGTAGTCTAAGTGACTACTTAATTTATTGTCTTGAACGAAGTCACTGTTTTCCTTCTGTTTTTGTTATTTTCTTAAAGCGGGCTCCTTGCCATCGCTTCGAGATAAGTTCTGGTAGCTGCGGGTACCATTGAGGGATCTTTTGTACAAAGCCTCCGCCATGAATGCAAAAATGTGATATTTGAACCCGTAATTTGAACCCACATACATTTGAACCCGTATTTTGAACCCACGACAGTTGTACCTCATACTATTGCACCTATGGACATTTTTTACGAATATTTGAACCCATACTAACCCTAACCCATGAATATTACCACCCTCATATAGATTGAACCCGCGGATATACGAGTGCAAATGTAAGTCGGTTCAAATGTACGGTCACTATTGGAGTAGAACATCCGCCTTTTAAAATAAAAAAATAGTAATTATCCAGTTAGCTTACGAATGATTTGAAAATTTGAATTTCTAGCGCAATATGTTTTTCTAACACTGCCCCAACGACTCTCTCTAGGCCCGCCGCTGTACACGTTTATTATAAATATATTTCCACTGTCGGCGTACTTCTTATATATAAACGTAACGCGGCCTGAATAGCAAAAGGTAGCACATTTCTGTCTCGCAAAAGCTGAAAGTACATGTTTTTGTTGCCAATGCCGAAAGCTGCAAGACCTATATAGATTTTCGGCGGTGCATTATGCGCCTATGGCTTTGAAATATCGGCGCTCCAGAAATGTGCGTACCAATATGGAGGTAACTAATTTTGTTCGCCTATTTTACATCAAGTTGTGTAAAGGGACTGAAACCTATGGACAGGGGTATATTCACTTGGCTAACACAGACAGTCTCCGAATTCGTAATAGAACTAAAATAAGGAAAATCGGAATAAAATTATGGCCTAACCCTAACCTGGTGCACACACTACGGGTGTACCAAAATATCTTGGATTCTTTGGAATCTACATTTTAACACAAAGCAAATATATTTACTTTCTTGTAGTTTCTATATCGTTAGAAGAATTATAGAATTAGCGTATTTTGTTCTATAAATACTGGAGGTATATTTTACCTATCGGAGATATATAACTACGATTGCCACAAGAAAAGGATTTATTTCCGGCAGAAAAGATGAATATCACCGACCTTGGAAATGGGTAAGCGAGGGACGAATCGGGGACATTTGAGATTTCAAAGAGTGTTTGGCATCACCGCTAGAAACAAAGCGGATTGGGGTATTATTATTGAGAATGGCAATTTGAGGCTTCGGCGTATTCTCACGTTTGAAGAGTGAAGTGAAGGGTCTGATCGTCCTACACATTTTATGAAGACTATTTAATCGAATTTCACTCTCTCGGAATAAATATGAAACGTCGTATTCCATTCTAATAGTATAAGAAAAAAGTGCCTACAATATGATAAAGTCGTCCTATCAGCTTTATTCTCCTGAAAAAATATTTGTTGCAACATTGGACTTTTTCAAATGAAATTATGAATTTTAACAATTAATGAAGCTCATCTCACTAGCTGGAAAACGGCTCTCTTTCTGTTAATCATTCTTTTGTTGTTATTATTCCGGGGAGAGGACAGTTGATAATCGGGTTTATAGATGCTGTTGATTATAACACTTTTGTACGCCTCGACAGGCGTCTCCCCTTCCCAAATATTGTCGACAGACACCCCGATTTTGTGTAAAAAATCCTACTTTTGTTTTTAACGGACTGAACTGCAAGTAAAGATTCTTGAACGCGAAAGTTGAATAAGAATGTTGCGTTGAAAGAGATTATGCTATTCTTAATTATTTATTTTAAATTATCTTCATAGTACTCCAATGATTAAACTCGATTTATCGTCTTTATAACGGAACATGAATTACCATATTTTTAGTTCTTCGATGCAAATGTTCAACTGCGGTCCTCCCCCAGTAGTTCCGTACACATTCCCTACCTATATGGTCATGGCGATTATTAATGGAATCATCGCTGGAGGCGGTATGCTTGGCAACGCTTTGGTTGTTTTCGTTCTTCTGGTTGCTACGGACAGACAGGTATGATTATTTGAATATTAACTTTGTGTTAACATTGAGGATCGTCCCAAGGCAGGTTTTTGTTTATTTCTTGTTTTATCATAAAAGAACTTTCTTGAACAGCTGGCTTAGAGCACAGAATTTGTATAGGTACATTATTTATGAAACTTTAGGCATAGATTACGCTTCGAAAATCAGATTTCAAAATTCGTTTTCTATTCTTTCGCAACAACCTTACTTGAACATCTGATTTAGAGCACAAAGTTCGTAGGTACATTGTTTTCAAAACGTTAGGCATCTGGATAATTTAGGTTTTGGAAATCATATCGCAAAATAGTGTTTTTAGCTGATTCAGAGAATACAGTTCGTTGGTACATTGTTTATGAAACCTTAGGCATCTGGTTAGGTTAGGCCAGGTGTGGCCAACACGTCGAACGCGATCAATCGGTGGATCGCAACTGAAGTTTGAGCAATCATGTAACATCTATGGTTTGAGAGAATTTTTTTTTTGCTCATTAGATAATATGGATAATTGCAGTTATTAGCATGGTCAGCATTTTAATGTGTATGCCCTTATTACCGATCAGTCGATCGCCAGCTATTTTAAAGTTTTAAGCCGATCGCGGTCGAAAGCAGGTTGGCACACCCACTGGTTAAGCTTTGAAAATCAGATCGCAAAATTGTTTTCTTTTCTTGCAAAAGGACGTCAACCCATAGGGTTCTACGTGCGTCAAAACATGTTTTTCTTGCGTTCAAGTTCGTTCAATCTTAGACTTCACTAATTAACCGTTATCGATCTTTATTTGAAACGAAAATAAATGATCTAGGTATCAGATTTCTTGTTATTGCTTGAAACACTGTTAAAAAAAATTAGTATTTTAACAGTAAATTATAGCGGTGATAGGCCTTAATACTATCGTAATACTATCTAATTCTAATCCATATAGCATAGGTTCGCAAAGTGTCCCAGAGCTCCGTTAGAGAAATCTTTGGGGTCCGTGAGATATTTGTTTACTTATTATTAAAATAAATATTTTTAAATACAAAGCATCAAATACATCCGCGTGGTTAAATAAAGTAATCTTAGTTTATTCGGATATATTAATCGATAAATTACAATGCGTCTTTTGTTTTTATTTTTAAATTTTGTGTGGGGCTTCGCAAATAACAGTCAACCTTTTCAACAGGCTGCTTAACATTAAAAGACCAGCCGTTAAATAGCTTTTCCAATGTATTGCTATTTCGAGTAAAAGCCCTCGTTATTGGGGGAAAAACTATAGATCGAAAATAATCTAATGGCTGTTTCAAGAATTGGGTGAGCGAAAAAAAAGACGTAAATATTTTTCCGCGGCAGTTCTGTGCCAACGTAGCGGTTTTCACGGTAAATTGAGAATATTCGGTGGCATATGGGGCATTATTGATAACATTGTGAAAACACATACCTTGAAAAATAAACGTTTAACATTACCGTTACAGCAATGTTTAAATATACAGGGTGGTCGCTAGAAAAACAGAAAAATTGCTTTTCAACGATATTAATATTTGAACAGTAATTTACAGGAATCCTGATCGAACTTGAAAAATGAATCGAGCGTGAAATTTAAAATAAGAGGTATCAAATTAAACCATCACTCTGATAAATAAGAGGATAAATAAACATTGGAGTCGGTGATCGGGAAACATAAATGGTATACGAATCAATACAAATTTCATGGTATATTTGGTTTCTTTGATATCTAACCAATTCTGCTTTTATGTCAATTATGCAAAACAACATTCCCAAAATCTAATTATAGATTTCACGTCTAAGCCGGTTGGTTCCTTTTAATTCGTTCAAAACATTTACATAACGGAAAATTTGATTATGTACTCGAACTTATGATACGCGGAACTTATACTCTGGCATTTGTACAGTAATTCTACAAGCAAATAGTAAGTAAAACCCTCCTTCAAAATACGCGACTGTTATTGCTGATTAGCCCCTTGTACCGGAAATAAACAAGAAAGTCGATGCTGGGGGAAGCATAAATAAATAGTATGTAAATCTTGCAATACGTGCAACTTATACTCTGGTTTTTGTACATTCAGGATTGTTCATAATGTATGTATTTATATGCATTACGATAGTATTAATAAGTGCCCTAAAAAACGGTTGGAAAACGTCGTTGCAGATTAGTAGGGCATTTCAAATCGAATATTCGAATCGAATAGTCAATTATTCGAATCGGTTCAGAGCAAAATTTCAAATCGCCGCCATCTTGTTTTATTCTTACCGCCATATGGTCGACGTGAATTCCTTAATTTTTTTTTATTGTAGCAATATTTTTTCAATGCAATTATGACACATGACTATTTTCTGTAGTGAGTTATTGATAAAAACGTGTTTCTTATTGTGTGTGAACGCTCAGCAATCTGTCTGAGTGAAGTATTCTACGTTTTCAGTAATTCATTCGTTGAAAGGGCCAATTACTATAAAAAAAAATCGCATGCAGTTCTATATCTCCCAAGTATTCGAGATTCGATTCGATTCGAAAAAAAAATTCGATTCGATTCTGAAATCATCAGGTATTCGAAATTCCCAGCCCTACTGATTAGCCATTGTAACGGATATAAACAAGGAAGTCAATGCCCGGGGAAACAAACAAATAGTATACAAATTTCATAGTATATTCGGTTTTTTTGATATCTTACCAATTCTGCTTTTACGTCAATTATGCAAACAACAACCCCAAAATCAAATTATAGATTTCACGTCTAAGCCGGTTGGTTCCTTTTAATTCGTTCAAAACATTTACATAACGGTAAATTCGATTATATTATCCCGAGATATGGTTATTCTGTCGATTTTAAGTCAAGTTATCTCAAAGCGAGGCGGGGAGAATCGAAATAGATTTAATAACAGAACAATTCAATGGGTCGGTCTAAACCAGGGGTTTCTAAGTTGTGGTACATGAACCCACAAGAGCACATTGGGACTTTTCATTAGGCACATTTAATTGAGTATTAGAGAAAAAAAACTATCCATACCTTTTCCTTGATTCCGCTGAAATAAATTTGTGTCTGTGGATGTTTTCACTTCATTGTCGTTTATTAGATTTCTTCAAAAATCCTTAATTTGGGATATTTCACATGATAATTACGTTTAACCCAAAGTGTTCACTATATGATATGGTCTTTCAAAAAAGTTAAATACTTTTCGCAATGCGACACTGAAAAAAAAATTATTTGAATGCGGCCTTTGCAAAACAACTTGGCCCTCAGCGCAATAGGCAATTTCATCGTGACTCTGCAAAAAAATTAATTTTTTTTTTTTATAGAAAATTATCGATTTTTTCGGCCCTGGACACGTCCGGGTGAACTGAATCGTGGTAATTAATGCTTCCGTACATTCAAATGTCAAAGGTCAATTCTATTTAATCTATTTAGGATTTTTCAAAGGACATTATTTGGATTAGATCAGGGTGTAAATGCCTAATGTAAAATCTTTTTTTTACTTTCCGGGCGAGTAAAAGCCGAAAAATAATTATTTAGGACTCTATTTTCTGTGCCCCATTAACTTTCTCATGTAAGGAAAAAACTACCAGAAAATAATAAATTCTTTTTGCAAAGATGAGCACATCCACTTTGATAATAAAAATAAAAATAACCATTTAGTAGAAAAAAACCAACATTATCATTCATTTCTAAAACCAATAAATTTAACTAATTTATAACTCTTAGCAATATTTAATAGATTCGTTGCCACATTGAAAATGTTATTGTGGCCCGGCAGTGATTCTGGGCTATGGCACACTGGTTGAAATACTGTGATTTAGAATCAAACATAATTCGCAATCGCATTCATTTAATATTAATAAAACTGTTAATACATCGAAAAATGTAACCTCCTCACGAATGACGTCATTCTGTACGTCGTAAAATGTAACCTCCTCCCAAATGACGTCATTCTGTACATCGAGAAATGTAACCTCCTCACAAATGACATCATTCTGTACGTCGAGAAATGTGACCTCCTCACGAATGACGTCATTCTGAACGAGGGAGACAGAAATCATTCAAATGACAAGATGTCAGAATATCATTTTCATTCACACTTTTCGGTTTTTACTGTAATTAGATTTGCACGTAAAATCCCGTGGGAGACCAAACTGACATTTAGTTTCGCGCAAAGTATTTTCGATGAACGAAATGTTAAGATGTTTTTATTATGTCACTGACTATCCGATTCTCAAATCAATTTTGTTTCCGTGAAGACCGGGAACAAGGGTTCTCAAACTGACATGATCCGCGGCATCTTCTAAAGACTCTTAACGATTGTGTCGTAGTCATGGCTGTGGGGCCATGCCCCCTTCCAAAAATTTTCAACATTTCTTTTTTAATTCAATATTGCGGCATTTGCAGTAACACATGAATTCATACGCCGTTCCAACACTATTTTGCTCTATTCTTACAATATATACTGGAAACTGACTTTTTCTGGCTTGCTATCAATAATCCTTTTACCTTACCAAATCAACCGAACGAGACAGATGGAAATGCGCGTTCATATGCCTTGGATAACTCCGACAGCAAATAAAGTACGTCTGTAGAGAGATTATTTAAGATACTGTTTGATACCGGTGGCTTCTTTTTATCTGGCTTCGTTCGGGGCAAATGGCACGAGAGAGCGTCGTATTACGTCTTTATACAAAGAAAAATTGCCCTCACTCCGAAATCTCGGGATGGCTACCCTCTCGATTGTGGCCCCTGCTCTATTTTAAAACTATCATGTTCTGCTTTCAATGCTGAAATTTCTGAAATTGAAATTTCTGATTTCCAAGTTAGACCATAACAGCCAGCAGTGGGCCAGAAAACGTGGGGTTACGAGAGTCTTGTGGCTCTTAAAAAAGGTTTTAAGTTACGAAAAATTGCCATGTAGGATCAGACAACTGATGGGAGGGTGGGTCCGACCTGCAAGCCCCGACTTGGCCTATTTGCGATAGGAAAAGATTTTTATATTTATTTCATTGGAAGCATAGCCG